TAATAGAAAACCTTATAGGTCCCATAAATAGCAGAGGCCAGTAGTCCACTCAGGTTGGAGAAGGAAGACAAAGGCAGCTCAGAGAAAAGTGTTTCAAAGAAAGACGACATAGACAGACCAACACAGAAGATGTATAACCGGTAAGTTACGGAGCTACTTGTCATATTTATGAAGTAATAGTGGATTACTTAGTAACTACTTAGTATGATATATCACTTTACTTGAGGGGGACAAAAAGAGTAACTAATGATTAGGTAATCAGCCGTTCATTTTGTGCCACTCAGCAGCTGGTTCAGCGTTAATCAGGAACAAGTCGTGAAGAAAGATTATTTATTGAAGTAATCATTACCTGATGATTTATTAAAGAAATTAATCTGGTAGAAACAAATGTAATGTCTAATTATCCCGTGCCCTTATAAAAGTGTGTGTGTCTAATAAATGATAAAGGAAATGAAACGAAATAAAATGAAGTACCGAGGAGGCCGAGCAGACACAGATGGCAGAGAAATGGAGAAGTACTGTAATGATCAACAAATACAGGACACAGACTCAGGGAATTTGGAATGATTAAGAAAGAGATTTATTGTCTGGATTCCAGGGGATGAAGGTGGATGAAGGGAAAAGTCCGGATGGAGGAGGCAGAGGGGAAAGAGGGGAGCTTGTGGTTGATGAAGCGTGGCAGAGCAGGGAAATGGCTGGAAGTGAGCGTGGCTGAGCAGCTGGCAGGCACGCAGGCAGGCAGGTAGTGGTCCTGTGGCACAGAGAGACAAGGTTAGAGATGAACCAAAATAACACACAAGAGAAATAACTTAAATGCACAGTTCAAGGGGCCTGAGACGTGAACTACCACTGTGGCTGAAACAACGATCTGGCAAGGAGTGGACAAAGACAGAGTTGGGCAGTGTGGTGGCTCAACGTGCAAGATGGTGTTGGATTCGATTCCCAGCTGGAGCAGGGCCTTTCTGTGTGGAGTTTGTATGTTCTCCTTGTGTTTGTGTGGGGTACTCTGCCTTCCAGCACCATCAATAAACCCCTGTGTTAGGTACGTCTCACAGGCCAGTGCCCTTTACCCTTGTGTATAACTGACCAGTGGCTGCCCACTGACTGAGGACAATAATAACATCAAATAATTTGATTTGATTAGTAGACTGAGTGCAGGTATGCAGCTCGGAGGGGATGTGTAGGTAAAGGAATAACAGGTTTCAACTGGAGAGATGAAAGGTGGGATGAATCCCTAATGGATCTGGCAGCTTCAGTTTCTGAACATAGAGATTAATGATGGTTTCATTCTCATGTAAACCAATGAAGCAGGGGTGAAAGCTTCTTATTTTTTAATTAACTAATTTTTTAGTGCAGTGTCTTTAGATATAAGCCAAACTTTCCGACCTGGTGGATAAGTGGGAGCAGGGATCTGGTGGAAGGCCAGTGAGGCACCGATTACAGTCAGCAGCCGGAGCATTTTTCCATATGTTGCGGTCACTGCAGTGATGGGCCTGCACTGATGGTACTGCAATGTCCTGAGCAGGAAAACAAAGGGAGTTCATAGCTCAAAGAGACTTGACATGCTGGTAGCTGCATGGGACTGGAACTTGTGGGTGTACCCAATCTAGGAAAGCTGAGACTTCCAGGAACAGGGGTTTCTGGCGGTGCACAGCGGAGAGGAACCTCCAGGTTTGTCTGGGGAGGAAAACCGGAGGAGGGACTAAGATATGCAAAAAGGGCCAGACAGAATGACTTCCACACGTGAGAGATGTACTGTGGGGCTCTGTCCAAAACAATGCCTGAGAATGGAGGGATACACAACTGCGGTGTAAACAATATGGAGGGTATAGAAGTCTTACACATGGCCCAATCAGCAGGCAGTTGTTTTCAGCAGAAGAGGAAAAACAACAGGGAGGCTGCATGAGTTTAGTATCCATAATTTGTCCAAAAGTCTAATTAAATCTATCAAACTATACATAAAGTTTACAAAACTAAACAGAGACAGACAGTCAGACAAAAGGAGACAGATACTGCAGGTGGAGTGGAAAAGGAAAGTCATTGAATGTTTTGCACCTTAAAGTGAGAAATCACTCTTTCACAGTCTATCAGAGAGAAAAATGAGAGAATGTTTTTAAAAAATGCTGATGAAGACAGAAGAGACAAATGAAGAGCATAAAATGCAATTCATCATTCTGTTCCACTAAAGGTGGAATCAAATATTTTAATGTGCGAGAGAGTTATGGAGTGTGTTATAGCTGGACAGGCAAACATTCCTACTTTGTCATATGGACCATAATGGAAATATGTTATTAACTATTATGTCTTCTGTTTATAACTCCATTGTTCTCAGTGACAGACACAATACATTAACAGCTTTATTGTGTTTGTCTTCGTAATATAGTATACATATCTTTATCTAGATGAAATAATCAAATAAACATAAATCGATCACTCCATCGATTGAAAGCTTGGAGGAAATGTCAACCGGATACAAACAGCTTAACATTACACTAAATTATTTAAAGCAGTGTAATAATAATGTTGTATTTCATTGGTCTGGCTTGGTCCCACTAGAACATTTGTGTTTCACTTTGTACACATGGAGGTCAAAGTGCACAGTGAGCAGCACAGTGGCGCCCTTCGAGCTGGCAGAGTCTTACTGAAAGGCACTCCAGCAGGGTGGAATCCTGCCAACATGAGGTCCTCTGGTTGTGAGGCTGTTTTGGCCGGAGGAAGAGAAAATCAGCTTTTTTGATTGCTTGGAGGTAGTGCAACAAGCTGTATGGATATTGTCCAGCAGACACGGAGCGACTTTATCATTCGTTTGGTGTCATGTTTCTGATCACCTGATGAATAAAAGTCCAATATTTACTCTCCTTTTAGCTCTGATTTGGTCTCCACCAATGCAAGAGGGAAATACCTGGGTATTCAGCTGCTAAGTGCTGTGCTATGTTCACCAGTTAGTTGCTAACTAGCTAAGTGCTCGCTTTTCTGCTGAAAACATCGGTTTGCGGTGTCTGAAAATGACTGATGAGAGCGTTTAGAGTGAACCAAAACATTAAAGTTGCATGTCATAAATAAACCCAGCACTTAAAAGTTGCTGCAGAGTCTGTAATAAGTATCTGTGGGTTTATCACTATGAACTGCCATATCATACAAAATCATTTGATCTATTGTTAACATAAAAATATTGATTGACTCTAGAGCGTGATGTTTGAGTTCCGTTGTTCTTCCATCTGGCTTGGAAGGCTAGCGGGAAGTGACTGGGTCGAGATCTGCAGCTACACTGGTAGATGCCACTAAATCCTACACACTGGACCTTTAAGACCCATCCCAACTAAACACAACTGGTACCATTGCGAGGCTATACTTTGCTCTATTTTATCCATAACAAAATGTTAGCTCACAAGGCTAATGCAACACATAGGCTATAATCTGTCTCTTTTCCTATTTCTACAGGGGGAATTGTGTATCCACTTGCACCATGAGCTACACATAGACAGACAATTGGCACAGTCAGACAGAAAGAGATTTCTTAATAAATTACATTTGAAAATGACTGAACCCACTTTGAGCCTGAAGCTTTAGACAACAAACTGGTCTGAAACTGAAAAGAAATCCATCAGGTTCTGGTTGGGTTGCAGAGCTCTGGACCTCTAAGGCTGAACAAACACTGTTATACAAAGCAATACAACTCTATTGCCCACTTTAGTGGAAATGTGTCATGGCAACATTAAGACACAGGACATTATAGAGAAAACACGTGTAAAACATTAAACATCACCTAAGACATGACTTAGGTAAAAATAGAGTAATTTAATTCAGGGTTTAGCATCCTATTAGCATTTCTCATCTCCCTTAACTCTTAAGAATGCAGCTCTGCAGGATTTAACCGAGAACTGGGAGTCTGACTTCACTAAGGGGATTTATCAAACCCTTTAGTGCAGTTCTGTTTGTCACTGCTTTACATCCCAGGAGTGCTCCAGCTCATCCAGCTTAATCACTGACCTATGCAAACACAGAGTAGAGTCTACTTCACATTGGAATTTATGCAATTACTGTATATTCTGTATATCCTGCCAGCCTAGAGAGTGTGACTGTGAGTGCACATCTGACTAAGCTAATAACCCACATTCACAGATCTCAAAAAATCACAGAGCATCCAGCGTTTGCTTTCTGAGTCTTGGAGTCACAGATCCAATGCATAATGAAAAGGGATGCTTCATTTTGGCAACTCCTACCCACCCCCTGCCTTGGGTTGTCTCTCTCTGGCTCCTTCTATGAATTATGAACCATGATCCCCACAGGCTCCCCAGTGGCCACAGATGGATTGGGGGAAAAGCTGCCCATCTCAGTAGTGGTGTCGAAGGGCATTTGTATTGTATGAGGGGATGCAGTTGTTTGTGTAAAGTGCTGCGTGTCCTCTTGCCCTCTGTGCACCACATTGGTGTCGGGTTAAAAGAAGGGCTAAATGGGCCAAAGATTCCTTCGTGTGAACAGGTGTGACTGCTGTTTGGCCCTAACTGGCAATGGTAAAAAGACCTTTTTTTAATTTCATGTTTTTTTTTTTTATAGTGACAGGAAATATGAGGAGGAAATTGGTGGACTGACATGTTACAAAGAGGTCCTGCTGCTTTTGGCCAACCGGGATGCCTATTATGAGGTTTATTCCAGCACAATACTCAAATCTCAGACCAGTGTGAAGCTCTTCATCCAGTCTTTAGGGAGACAGAGTCAACTTCACTTGTGGTCCTTGAAATGTTAATTGCTAATCAGCTGATTGCATTCAGGAACAGAAATAATCTTTTGAAAAAAGTTTCAGCGTGACTTTTAAACCAACTGTTATGAAAGTGGTAAATGGCTGTCTTTTAGCAGCCGATGGAAGGAAAACATCTGTTTTGATCCTTCTAGACCTTTCTGCGGCTTTTGACACCATTGATCATGTGATTCTGCCTGACAGGCTCAAACACTGCGCTGCCTTGAAACTCCTTTAAAGCAGTTTGACTTTCTCTGTTGGATAGTGTTTCAAGTTCTTTATTTGTCATAAGCACAACAGTTAAAATTAAGCTTTCATTGGCAATTAAATTCTTAATTCCCTGGTGCCCTGAAAAAAATCTCACACAATATACATGAAAAGAGAAACATGCAAGTAAATAAGAAATTAGATAAAAGAGAAGTGAAGAAAAAAACAAGAACATGTCCTGTATTTTAGGACATAAAATACAATACAACTGAATATAAAATATAATGCTATAGTACAGTAGTGATTAAATGAATAAACTGTATGTACACAGTTTGTACAGTAACGTAATAAATGCTTAATGAGAACTGGTTATGGACAGGTGAGAAAAGCATGTAGTCAAGAAGTGCACATAAATATGCAGTTTTTAAGCAGCAAAAAAATACATATGTATGTATACTGAGAGCTGTGCATGTATAAACAAGTAAGGAGCAAAGTGATGTAGTATTGAGAGCTCAGGAATTCAACAGACATGGCCTGTGGGAGGAAGCTGTAGAGCCTTACGGCTAAGGGTAGTGCAACAACCACACCAGCTAGTAATGCAGCCAGTCAGGATATTCTACCTATTAGGTATGCAGGCTGGAGACCATGTTGATCTCCCTCAGCCTGCAGAAGAAGAGCCATTGTCTTGATGTCATTGTGGTGGTGTCGGTGTATAGGACTACTTCCTGTAGTCCACAATCAACTTGCTGACGTTGAGATGGCGGTTGTTGTCCTGGCCTGACGGTCATGTCATCAGCAAACTCTGTGGTGTTGAAGCGGTAGGTGGCCAAGCAGTCATGGAAGTACAGCAGATCACCTGCATAAACTAATGACATTCCAATCAGCCTCAGCTGCACCTTATGTTTTGTGCTAATTAGCAAATGTTAGCACACTAATATGATAAACCAAGATGGTAAACATTATACCTGTTAAACCTTGGCATGTTAGCATTGGCATTGTGAGCAATCTGATGTTAGCATTTAGTTCAAAGTATAGAGAGCTGCCAAGGCTGGAATCTCTTGTTAAACTCTCTGACAGCTTTCTTTGTATATGCAAACATTTATGGAGTGGTGCTTCTTCCAAATTTGGAAACATCAAAGCAGCTAAAAACTTGGAAAGTGATAGTCTTTCAGTTTTCTGTTGTAGAAAATGTTTGTGTATGAATTTTAATTGGTGCAAAACCAATAACATCAAGCAGTGCAGCATTGGCACTTGTTTCTCTTTCCATTTTAGGGTAGATATTGATTATTCTAAAGCACGTCTGAGTTATCCCCAAGCTATGACCCTGACCTTTAAACTGCTCATTAGATATTGTGCATAGCCCGGTACCTTCACATGGGGCATTTCAGGTCACCGTAAAGTCATGGGCTGTGTTTTTACACTCCTCAACTCTGTAAAGACAAGATTGGAGATTACATCTTCTTTTGTCTAAGGCCTATTTTTACAGCCTTGTTTTTCTCTGATTTTATGTTCTTACTTATTTAGGTCATTTAGTGATTGCTTGCTGCATTTCCTATTCCTTTGCTTCTTATACTATCACTCCCTGTCTCATACCATACTGTGTCTTTTAAGTGTTTTTATATAAATATATAAAAAAACAAACTCTCAACACGTCAGATTTTATTCACAGTCCAGCTTCTACTTAAAGCAAAAATATTTCCTTTTTTATAGACAGCATGTGTAAATGTATGACATGGGCGATAAATCAAAAACTATGGCATTCTTCTTATCTTGCTTTTGACATATTCTCCAGCGCCTGGGCTGCAGCCTCCAGAGAAACAAAGCAGCTCAAGAGGGCTCTCAGACATCACAGTGACGCTGCCATGCAACAATAAATAAAAAGATGATACCATACATGACTCAGTGTACAGATCCGGAGATAATAAACCAGTCAAAAACCATTGCTACACCATAACAATGCCCAAGCTTTTACAGGGCTCCTTGAGCAAAAGGCCTCCTCAGCTGTACATTATTGATAGGGCTTAAATTGAATGTGCCTTTGTTCCTCCATCGATGGACACAAGGCGTGTGTCTCCCTTACATGGAGAGTAGTGGTGAGTGTTGGGGGAGGGGAGCAGGGGTGGGTGACTCACCCCGTCCCATCATGCAGCAGGCGATTCATCCATCACATTAAGAGGTGCCGCATCAATCATTAACAAGTAGCCCCCTGTTGAAAGGATGATGGACAGCTTGACAAATAAGTTAAGATGAAGCAGGACAAGGTGATGCTGGCCTTTTCTCACTTTTCTGCCAATTTATTCAAGACACAACAATAGAATATCCAAATGCAGGCAATGAAATGATCTTGAATAGAAATTGGCATAATTTTAAGAGGAAGAAAATAATGGATAATGGGTTCTCTCGTGGACAGATATAAACGGAACTTGCAGAGTGAATTTTGCAGATGCTTTTAGGGATTCTGAAGTGCTAGGGCACAGACGACACTTAATACTTTTCTCATGGGTGGCCAGCAAGAGAGAAATTCCAGTGGGATTTTTTTGGACTCACCCAGGTAAAGGGATGCATACTCTGATAATCTAACCGTCCTGAAAAAAACCTTTGAGAGGATTTTAACTGCTGATGCAGAGAACAACTGGAGCCATCTGCAGGATTATTCCCCCTTTTGTAGGGATCTGACATTTTAGCTGTCTTTATTCTGACTAAAGTTTGCACAAGGACCAAAACCTCAAATCTGTTTGTCGTCTGTCAGCATACCTAAGACTTGCACCCACTTGTAATTTTACCTGATGAGTTCTGTAATCTGGTGCTGAAGGCACAGACAACGGTGTTTAAAGTTCAATGGATCAAATGACTACTTGACATGGAGAGTTAGAGAATCCTCACCTTACTCTGCAGTTTTCCTCAACTCTAGTCTTTTAGCCAATTGAAACTTTACTGGTTTGGTTCACTCACCATAATCCTCAACACTGTTTTCATCTGCAGCAGGCAGTTCAGAAAAAAAGTTATTTTTAACCAGCTGTACACTACCTAACCAGTACTGATAGGAGAACATAGCATAGCATTTTGAAGCTAAAAAGCCAAGTATTTCCTTCTGCAGTAGGTAGAAACCAAAAACAGAGCTAAAGGTATAATGAATATTGAACTAATACTAATCAGCTGGACAAAGGCTCCAAATGAAAGCTGTTTGCCACCATTTTAAATCTATTTAGGTGATGATATGTCAGCATTGTGTTTATCTCCTGTTGCACTGCCCCCAAGTTGCCAAAAAAATCTGTTAATCCAGATTTACATATTAAAGGATAAGGCTGTTAATATTCGATCATTTATATTGTCAGCAAATTTCATAAAAACACAAAACCAACAGTAGGTCCGTTTCTCAATATTTTCCAACTTCCCCAACCTGTGTGTGGCACTCAGCATCAAGCCCACTAGTGCCTACTGAAGACAAAATCTTTAAAAACAGGTCATCAATATATACTTAAAAGGCAAAATAATTTCCTAAAACAACTGGACACTGTAGGTGTTAGGAAAAGTTACTCAAATAGTGTTTTTGGTGAGTATTAACAGCATCAGGATGGTGTATGTGGGACTGACCAAGTGCCCATGTCCATAGTAAAGAAGGGGAACATGCCACCCATTGAAATGGCTCACTGATCGCCTTTTAATAGTTTTTGGACAACATCAGAGCTCTGTGCCACAGAGGAATAAGCTACATTTGGTTTCATTCATCAAGAAAGTTGAGAAAAGTTATTTTAGGGGCATCACAGATAACTAAAATTAAATTTCACATGTAAAAAATCTAAATATATTGCTCAGATGAATAATCATCAACACCTTGTGTCATGACCTTTTTTCTGTTGCCAAATGTCCCCTCTCATTTTGGTAATCAGAGTTCCTGATTGCACTCTGATCCACAAATTGAAACACATTTTGAAAAAGAACTTTGCTACTAATTTTAATAATGACTCACACGTTTGTAGCTCTCATTCAAATGTGTTCTCACAACTAATTTCATTGTTGGCATTTAACTGAGCTGAACACTAGAGTCTGATTGGCTCCAAGTTCACTTTCTATCCCTTAAATCATACCAGGCAAGTTTTTTCTTTCTAGAGTTGTAAGCCAGATTTGAAATCTCCACAGCAACTGATTTTCTTCATAAAAATAAAATGAATGCTAATTAGAGGTTCAAACTCGCATATTCACATATTACGCTTCAAGCTACATGCCAATCACACTGTCTTGAGATCTGACAGATATAATTCATGACTCAGATTTGCTTCCCTTTGGCTTCTCTTTTTGTCTTGCATTTTGCAGTGATCAATGATTGGAAATAATCTTCCCTTGTAAGACATTTACGGCCAAGTGGGCACCAGAATAGAAAGATTGTTGAATTTATCCCACAACACCCCCTGAAGGCTTAACAGTGTGTTCTGGTGTTCTACATTCACCCTTGTCCACTCCGCTCTCAACACTAATTGGACCAACACTAACTCACATGCTCCACATAGAACGACCGGCTGCACTGATGCTGTAGCTACATACACTTGGGTATATGCTGAATTCATACTGTATCACGTAAACACCAGATGCTGGCTGGGGAAACCTTGCCAAGTCTTTGTTGAAATCACAGAAAGGATATTTTTCCTGCAAGGTCCAGTGTGTGCCACTTTGGATTTTCTTATATGGGCAAAGGAGGGAATAGTGTGACATTTTAGGACAATTGCTTCTTGGCTTTCTTAGCGAGAGTTAGACTGTTAATTTGGCTTAGTACAAAAGCAAAGGAAGCACGGAAACATGTATCCTACCATTATCAGGTAGACATTTTTGACCCATATTGCGAGCCCTCCTGCTTGTTCTCATTCATTGGGAGTCAAATACAAACACTTTTGTTTTTGTCTCATACAGACACATAGGGATTAGACTACATCTCAATGTATCGTGTTTGGGTCAGGTGACGTTAGGGATGGGGATTTATAGGATTTTATTGCTTCAAATGATTCTTCTTATTGGTCTGACTTTTTATCAATTCAAAAAGTATGCCTCCAGGTTTTCAGTGTCAACACAACTGTTTTATTATCTGTGAGAATGAACACAATGTGGAAACACAGTAGAAAAAAGGCATGTGACTCAGGTGTACAAAAGCTCCACTGTTTGATCGCTGTTTAATTTGGAACCGGTTCTCAATTCCCATCTCGAGAAATTAGAGAATATTTGTACAGCTTTCATTTTCATTTAGGTTTTCTCAGTCAAAGAAAAAGTCTGCTAAGCCTACCTGCATGGCACTTATATTATTATAATATTGAATTGGTACAGTAGCAGTCATGTAAAGGCTGTCAAAATACATGGCATTCCTGGACTTTAAGCCCATGTTTCATAGAAAGATGTTTCAGCACTCTTTCTTTGTGAAATGAAGCCTGGCTCAGACCAAAGGTAGCAGAATCTGACTACCAGCAGCAACTCTAAAACTTACTAATTAACATACTGTCATTTTTCAGTTGAAAAAAATACAGATATTGCAGTTTTACGGAGGGTTGTGGCAGGCTGTTTCAAGAAATAGTCAAACAAGATATGACATGTTCATTAGTGACCTTTAGAGGTGCTAGTATTCAGATTCTTTTACCTTCAGACAGAGCCGGGCTAGCTGTTTCCAGTCTTTATGCTAAGCTAAACTAATGGCTCCAGCCTGGCCTTGACTTAACAGAAAGAGATATGACAGCAGTGTCGATCATCTCATCCACATAACTCTCGGCAAGGAACCAAATAATTATATTTCCTGTTGAATGTTGAATTATTTCCTTTAACATGTACAGGATGTAGCAAAGAAATTGTGTCCTATTCGTTCTTCCTCTGCTTCCTCTGATATGACGTGAACATGACATTACACTTTGCCCACAGTTTCCCAGCTGCAATGTCTCATTACCAAAGGTTAATGGAACAGCTGGACCTTCCAGCGTGACTTCGCCTGCTCAGCAGTCCAGCACATTCAAACCTTTGTAAAGTTTTTCACATTTACCTGCCTTGAACCCATCCCGTCTTTCTCTTCGTTTTTTCAGCACATTAGCACATCACATCAGCCCATTAGCAAAACTCTGACACTGTTTATTCAAAGTCATCATATTCCAAGAGTCTTCATGTTCATGTGCCTGCCCTAAATTACAATTGGTCCATCAATTTTTTATGATTGTGCTGTCTCCTAAACCTAATGTATAGCCCACAGACAGACTCATATGCATATTAATTAGAATAGAAATGACAGGACAATTATTCTTTCAGCTGAGGACAAAACCGACCAAAATGTTGAAGCCAGTAAAAAAGGACACAATCATCCTGACAGAGATTTAATGCCTTTAGCAGATAAGTCTGAAATAAACAGAGCAAGTTTTAATGGCAGCAATACAAATGCTGCTTATAAAGATGCATCACAACATGAGTTGACTTTAAATATGGTAAGATACAGTAAAATATGCAGCGTCAAGAGCAACATAAGCAGCAAGTGAATTACAAATTCCTGCTCTTCACTCCTGTTTCCCCACAGCTATTAACATTATAGAGGGCAAAGCAGCTGGATCCAAAGGTTAATGTCCACACCATTAGAGAGCGACAGAGCATGCGTTTATTCCTGTTGGTTTAATTAAATTACAGGGAACTCATAAAAGGGGGATTTATCCTGAACATACAGTTGCTGCAGTCCTAATGGAGCACTACATACCAGCTCAGCTGATTTATCCCCATCACGTTCAAAGTGGGTCGTCTTGTCATGGAGTTTTTCATGGCCTACTTAACAATACAGGAACTTGTAATTAGATCATTTGTCAAGCCAGCTGATTGCTTTGCCTGTTCTTTTTACGGTGTACAGGAGAAGACATCTAGCTTTTCACTGGGTCACTCAGAAAATTATTGATCTTACCTTCCCATGACCACTTAAACTGGAAATACAAGCAGCCTGTGCCCTTCAGAAAGCTGACATGAAGAAAAAATAAGCTTGTAATGTAGTGTGTGGGCAATAAAACAAATCCAGCCCTCATAATAACTACTGGCACTGTGGACAGGTAAGCTTGAAAATCACAACTGTAGTACTCGTAAGCCTTAAAAAAAAACGAGATAAAAAAATATGGTGATTAGACACCCTCTAGTGGAGGATCATTACAAAAACATCACAACCTCAACACAAACTTTCTTTTATCCGCTGTGCTTCCAAAGCCAAGCACATCAAACCTCAAACTGAAGGAAACTCCTGACAGTATGAATTTGAAATACTAATATTCATATTGAACAGCTCTACTTTTTGTACAATCTACATTCCTCCAGTTATAAAACAGCATATGTGTGTGTGCCAGTTATACTAGTTTGATGAATTAATCCTTTTCATTTCCTTTTTATTCCCACATTGCACAAAAGCTAACCGAAGCCTTCTTGTATGTCAGGGACTGTTTCATGTGGACTGTGAAATGCACTCTAACATAGGATTGTAATTCACGGCATGCAGAGTATACTTTGGACTGCAGGTGAGTGTCTACTGTTAGAAGACACAACCTCTTGTTTCATTTCTTGCAAGCTTTAATAGTAAAAATAATGCATGTGTGACACGAAAAAAAGGTGCACATATACACACAGCAATCATTCACTTTGTGGAAATGTACAAACTTTCTCAGAACAGTTGCCACAATATAGATTATACATTATTACAACTGTTAAAACTAGTAGTACATAAAGCAAATCCCCCTGATATAATGCAGGCTTTACAAACATAAAAATAATGCAAATAAATAACTAAATGTACCCGCTCATTCTTTTGGTATCGTTGCATTTCATGTGATACCTTTGGATTTCTGTCATGACAAACAGAATGGGCAATGGGACACTCATTTTGCAGCTTGAATTTAATTAATAACACATGTGTTTCTACATATAACATGCAACAGGTCAGCTCTGGCTTGCACAAAATAATCTATGCTGCTTGTGAAAGCATCAAAAGTCTATTAGATGTTACAAGGAGTGCAATCCACTGTCACTGTGTCATCCATGTTCATGATTCATATACAGATGTAGATATTTATTTATGGCCTATAGGTTAGATAAACAAGACGTCTGAGTACTTGAATCAAATAATATTTACTCACTGACAATAAACCAAATTTAATGTGAGACAAAAAGGATTACAATTCTTAGCCATGATCTTTTGCTTTGACTCTGGCTGTAAGTTAAAGGAAAAGTTCGACATTGTGGAAAATACACTTGCGATCAGAACATAAATGCCAAATTATGTCTGTAAACTAAACATGTAGCTGGAACCAGCAGCAGATTAGCTTAGCTTAGTGTCAAGACTGGAAACACAGCGAGTCTGGCTCTGAGTAACTAAGTTAGTTCAACCACCAGAACTTCTAAAGCTTTAATTAACACTTTATATCTTGTTTGTTTAATTCATTTGTAAAATGGAGAATTTGCTGTTTTATAGGCAGTTACTGTATGTACCGACTATAACTTCTTGGAGGAAGCAAATAAGTATTTCTCAAAATGTTGAACTACTCCTTCAAGGTGACAATTAAATATCTTCTTTCTTTCTTTCTTTCTTTCTTTCTTTCTTTCTTTCCTTTTTAACATGCAGTGTATCACGGCAGGTGCATTATTCAGACTTCACCTTCCATAACTTCTAACAGTCTGTGAAGGATTGGAAAGAAACATTAAGTGCTCCAATCAATAGTTTGATTCAGTAAAGCAGAGTCCTACATACATACATTATGCACCTCCACCAGTATGTGAATGTCACCCTGTCAAACTCGTTATGTCATTTAGCCCAGGCTGACCTCTGTTCATCAACATTATGGTGCTGCTGCTAGCTTAACCGCTTCAGTTTTCGATAAAAAGATGTGGCCATCAAAATAGCTGCCATCCCTATCACAATGAGGACAGCCACAGCAATTCCCAGGCCAACAGACGCGCCCTTGCCATCAGACTGGCCAGCAGACAAGGCTGTGCACAAATGAGAGTGACACCATTATGGGATGTTTAATTCCAGCACACAACAGAAGACATTATGACTTGCTACAGATAAGAAATGCTTTTCATTTCTGGAGAAATCTAATTAGTAAAAACTTTGTGAATGACTGTTCTCATGGCTGTCAAGTTATTAAATAACATACTTACCCTCTTCTTTTGAGAGAATGGCTGCAAGGAAGACAATAAGAGTCAGTATTTCATTATGAGAGATTATATCCAAAATATTATATTTGCCAAAACGTTGGAAAAATAATATAGCAGAAGAGAAAAGTCAGAAAATCATGAGTTGACAAATACAGAAACTTTTACAGGTGTTGGGAGTCTGACTATGTTTTTCTATGTACTGTTCTTTTTTGGATGTTTCCTTTTTTTAAAAATATTTATGCACATTTTAGTGACTATTTAAGATGTACTAGTCCTGATTCTAATAAGAAGATCAGCCCATATCATCTATCATCAGCATCTATGTCAGCATTTACAAGAAATAATTAGAAATATTAAAGAGGTTTAGTGATTTAACCTTTTAATCTGTAAAACATCTGTTTCTATGGGGGTTTGTGTGCTAGACTTCTTCTTGGCTGGGAGCAATAACTGTCTGGCAGCCTTAGGGTGAGAACAAAACAGCGAATGAGATAGAAGGTGTTGATGAGTGCGTGTCAGGGGTTCTGGCAGTTGGGTTTTGTTTTGTTTGGACAGAGTCAGGCTAGCTGTTTCCAACTGTTTCTGGTCTTTATGAGAAGCTAAGCTAACTAGCTGCCCGCTAGTGGCTTCATTTAGCTTGCAGACATGAGAATGGTATCAATCTATCTCACCTCAGCAAGAAAGCAAACAATATCAAAGTTTTCCATTAATATGGCTTGTTCTGTTTTCTCTGTGGTGTTTATTTGATGATGTCTGACCAAGATTTACATTTGCTTTATTAAATCTACTGGTGGCTATCATTACAGCGTGCAGATCTTTAGTCTGACTCCTATTACTCATTTGCACAAAAAGGAAGACACATAGGGGACATACAGGTTTCTGTCTCGGCCCTTATAGCCACTGTGAGCACCGAAGGCTCAGTGATGCTCTCCTGGACAACCGTGGTCTCCACACTCCTCCTCTTCCTGTTGCATTGCTGCGGATTAAACCAGACGGAGAGACGAGTTGATGATCTGACTGGTGGAATTGGGGATTTCAGCTTGAAATGCATGCGCTGCCTTCCTACCTTTAAGGTGCTGCAGGTGCTGCGCTCACAGAGTCGGGTGATGCAGTGCAGATAGTAGGTGGAGATGGTCTCATTCTGCTGCTCAATGAAGCGGAATGCCGGGAAGTAGAAGCGGGCCTTTTGGCTATCCCCGTTCTCCAGCATGGTGGTGAGCTGATCTATGGAGCACCTTTCAATAGAAGGCGAACCTCACAAGTGCCCCATTTGCACACATACAGGCATACAGGCAATGTATTAATGGTAGAAGGGCAGGGAAACAAAATCAAGACTAGGGCTCCCTTTGGATTTAGCTGTGCTGCATTTATTGCACGGAAGAGGAAAACCTGTAGATATGTGTAAAGGTTTAAATTTAAAGCTAGACTGCTGAACCGAGAGACAGAACCAATTTACAATCCTTGAAGGACTGGAAGAAATCCACAAGTTACAATAAGTAGGCAGCTCACGCTTTTTTTGTCAGAATTTCTTTAGGAGTTTTCGTGACTTACGAGACAAACAGATTAAAGTAGGTGGAGTTGGAGGGCTGCAGATTCACCGAGGCGTAGCACCGGTCCAGAAGAACAAAGTACCTGTGGAGAAAGAATGAGGCCCCCAGCACCGAGTCAGAGACTCCAGATCACAGGTAGAATCCTCAGATTTACAATCTATCAACAGTCAGGTGGTTGAAGACTAAAATAGACAGGAAATGTCTTGTTTTTAATCTAGACACTGACTCAGTTTCCACACCAGCCATTGGTATATTACCGACATCCAGGCCCACATTTATTAAACTGCTAAAAGTCAAACTTTTAACCTTAAAACTCACAAACTTCAGAATAAAAGATGTTTATCACATTTCTTACAACTGAAAAATACTTTTGTAGTTTAATTGATTAAGAGTAGACACTAAAATGACTACAGAGACAGATAAGCACACATCTACTGAGACATGTTTTGGAGTGAATGTACAAAATCACAATAGGGAAGCTTTTTGGCCTATTATTTTTATTAGATTCTTTTTCAGGTGTCCAAACAACAAGAACAAAGCTGCCACTGATTGATGAACAGTCACTCTTGGGGTCCTTTATTGTCTGCACTTTTAAATGTTGTACTAAACTCTCTCTGTGAATTTGTCAAATGTTGTCATCTACTGGCAGCAGGATTTCATTCCTGCTCCATTTCTTTTTGTTTTCCTATTATTTAATTTATATATTGTTGTTAATTTGACATGTCAATTGGTACTGGAGATGTTAAGGATTTCATATTTTCACTGAGTCAAATCTAAGGGTTTTCTTTTTGAAAAAATGACCAACATGGCAGGGTAAATCCTTGTCTCTGATGGGCTCGTCATACATGAGTTATCATGTGATCACTGGAAAACTACCCTTAAATGTTACTGACACGCTTACACTTTGCTGTAAGTAGGAGTGAGGTACGCAGATCATTTACTTAAAGGTCCAGTGTGCAACATTTAGGAGGATCTATTGGCATAAATGGAATATAATGTTCATAGATATGTTGAACCGTTATGTTTCTACAGTAGCCCAGAATGGACACTGGCTCTAGATAGGGTCTATTGTGTTTCACAGGCCCACTGTATTTTCTCCTACGCGCTTGGAAGGTTGAGCTGTTTCCAAATGTTTGAAATCTGCACCACTAGATGCCACTAAATCCTGCACACTGGTCCTTTAAGTAGAAATACCTGCATTCAAAATCCTACTGAAGTGAAAGTAAAGTGTATGTATTATCAGCAAAATGTACATATAAATGTACTTTCTTCTTCTGCAGATGACTGATGGGCCCCTGATACACAATACTGGATTAATTTTTGGGACTTTATTTGATATTTTTAAATGAAGGCATCTGAGAAGTTTAGAGGGTAAATTTAGACATGTCTATTTTGTAAGGGGCCACAACCCAAAAATCTTGGGTACATCTGGTTCACATCTGGTTTAATCATTCAGTATTTTATAAGCTCATCATGTTTTGTTTTGTTTTGTTTTGTTTTGTTTATAATCTAAAACCTTACTCTGAAAGTTGAGTACAATATAAAACATTTCTCACTAAAATGTGGAGGAAATTAGCATAAGTAAAGTACAAAATTGTCCTTAAGTACCAGATTTGCTTAAATATGCCAAGGGGTGAGAACCAGAGGGGCATAAGTGACATTTTGGGAGAAAATTAGTTATATAAAATTTTAAATGAAACCTCTTGAGCTCTTTCTACTGCCAAGAGGGCACATGTGAATTTTAAACCAATCCAGATTTATTAATCAAAAAGCAAATAAATGTATTTAAAAGATATATATATATATATTTTTTTCAATAAATGTAAAAATATTGTTCATTAAGTATTGTCTTCCACATGTATGGACATCTTTTGCTTCAGCTCTCCTGTAAAGTTGATCAAATGTCACTTAAGGCAGTGGTTCCCAACCTGGGGTCCGTGCCCCCTCTGGGGGGGGCGCCAGAGATCACAGCACACAACTTTGTTTGCTGAGGTTGTGAGGTCACCAAAATTATTATTTACAAAAATTAAATTTATGAAATCCCAATAACACACCCAGTTGGATAATCAAAACTCTCTATAATCCAAATTGAAACATATTTTCAATATATATATATATATATATATATATATATATATACTTTATTCTTTTAGTGCGTGTATGCGGGTAGGGGTTGGGGTTGGGGGGGCCTGACTTGTCTTGGATCTCACTCTGGATCTCACCCCTCAGTGTTTTTCTTAGAAGTAAAATCTGAGTCCAGGTGTGAACTAGACAAAGGAAAACCCGTACAGTGTCAATGGTTCTTACTGGGATGTCAGGTTGGATGCAGCCACTTGCACGTAGATGTTTGTTCTCAGCTCGACACCCAGGCGTGGCAAGACAAGGGGCGTGGTGTAATTTATATCCTGGCAAAGGAAGAGGAGGTAAAAGAAAAGAATAATATCAGTCTTCTGAAGTTACAGTTTAAGTCTGTGCCAGGCATATATGATGTATAGTATGTGAGGAAGGTGTAAGGTGGCACCTGGTACAAGGCCATGCTGAGGGTACTGATGAAGCTCCCATTGTTGTCCTTCAAAGCAATGGAGGAGGATGACCTATGAGGAAGAAAGAAATGAGGTCACACTTGGCACGCAAGTGAAATGTTAGAAGTGTTAATGTATGTTTTAACCCACATGCTATGACTTACACATCCACCTGGGTGTTGTTGATGAGATACTCCAGAGGATAAGCACATGAGTAGTAATACTTGAGCTCAGCATTGTAGGTGATCGTCCCAATGGTGGGGTCAAAGGATCGGACCACCCCGCTGACGTTGACCGTCTGGATGTTGGAGAAGTCTGAGAATAATCCTGTCCCTGGTGCGCTCGTGGTCTGAGGAATTATTTAACACAAACATGATTATTTAAGAAATGGTTAAAAATAAATGTTGGCCAGCGTCTCTGGCACAGCAGGCTGCGGTGATGAAACTGCAGCGAGAAAGTGGAACAACTTTCTCACTCTCAGTAAAGGAGACTGGTGGAATTGCGTGTGTCTGTGTTACAATAAGTCAAGAGTAGACTGATTCACCTCATGTATGTCTTGGTGAAATTCTCCTATTTTTACCATGAGTGCTCTCGTTTTCACTTCTTCACCTGGCCTAAAACACAGCACTCAGATATCCTTTTAGTTTCTTTAATCAGCCCTAACTCTCCCAAGAACGCTACCTCTCACGACTCCCTCAGGACACTTCACTGATGCAATACTCACCAAGAAGTTACTCCCACAGGCGTTTCCTTCTCTGATGGGGAAGCTAAATCTCAGCACTGGCGGTGCCACCGAGGTGTCCAGCGTCCCCTGACAGTCCGCATTGTCCCGGATGCGGTTGAGGATCAGTAAGCTCTTGTTGTAGCCGGTGTAGATAACCGGACAGATTTGAATTGCCAGGTCAATGGCAGATGTGCCGCACACCACAGAAATATCACTGTATTCTGATGGTGATAAGATGACATTTTAATTTAAAGATTGTGATGTGATTTTTATTCACTTATAAACTAATAGAATCATGTTAACCCAACCCACTGTTCTGCATGTACAATCATATGGAAGAATTGTGAGAAAAATTAAGATTCTTGTGCATGTATGGACAAATATAATAAAAAAGGCAGAAATTTCTTAATTAAAGTGCATTTAAAATTACAAATATATCTATTCAAATGGAATACAATAGTTCCACAACAAGAACCACAATTAATCAAGTCATAACTATTAATTAATTAAACTGGTTTAGCCTAATTTCTTCTGTAAACACATATTTACCAGCACAATTTACAGCATTCTTTCACATGTGTTAATTGAATATCTGAAGTAAACTAAAATCAATATGACCTCCCTAAAAGATCTATATCTGAAATAAAGTCAATATGACCTGAAGGTCACGGCCATCTTACCTGGTCGTCTGGCGTACGCCCCGCAGTCCAATACGCTGAGGGCCTCACGGCCCGCAATACACAAGGAGATCAGGAAGAGGACCCTGAATAAAGCCATCTCTCTGCTCTGCCCTCTGTGAAAATTCTGAGGCAAACACACAGATGTCAAACACAGAAAAATAGTAAATAAAAAAATCCAACACATTGCAGAAGAAAACATCTGTAAGATCCAATGAGGTGGTGTTAACAATTAAGATCCAAATTTAGAAGCTTAATCCAGGGCTGTCAAGTCGAGAAACCTTGTTTGCATCTTAGCCTGGATCTTACCTCCTCAGTCTCTTTTCTGGTTTAGGACAAGACAGCAGTTGGCTGTTTTATATATGGCAAGCATCACCATTGTGTGGTCACAACACTGTTTTAGGATTGGATGGAAACAGGGTCAAAGCCACTTTGGTGGGGCTGCCTCAGTTTGCGTAAACAAGTCACTTTTTGTGGCTGAGGTTCTGTGGTCTTCTCCTGGAGGCAAATGAGGAAACCCAACACAGTCCCCTTCAAAGTTACATGCTCAGACAATGTCCATAAGGCTTTGTGACTTTGTGTGTGAAATGCCTTTGCCTACTAATATGAAACTTAATAAAGAAAGAGTATGTATGGTTTCTATTCACCTGGGACCTCACGCATAATAGAGGAAAGAGGACCTGTTGTCTTCTGAGGTGTTTGGTAGTTAAATGTGACCTGGATCACCCTTAATTTGACAAATTGGCACAAAAGATTTTTTATATGAGGGCTTTTGATGCTCATAATTTATTAATATCAACAAACATGTTAGTCAGACTGATCATGTGACTGGCGTGTATCACGTTTATGCCTTGTGAATTTTTATTTTTTATTTCCATTTATTTATTCAGATATTGAAGAATTATGTAAGAATATTTGTGTTCGTGCTTGAGAGCCAAAGTAGAAATTCCCATATATTTGGAGCATCATCTAAAATTAGGTTGATGTTGAGTTTTAACTGAGAAAAAATGATTGAAGGACAGTTGGAAACCTGATCTTGTCAGTTGAGCCACCTGGGAAGAGAAAGCTCTAATCGGGGTCAAGGTGGAGGATGGGCGTCTCCGTCAATATTTCGTCAAACATATGAAACCACGCTGTCAAATGGTATTATGTCATGATGTGTGCACTTAAACATGACAAGAGTCCTTCTGTCCTCTCGCCCCCACACAAATATATCCACGGGTCTTTAAAAAATAAGTTTTCTGTGGACTTGACTCTGCCTGAACTTGGATTCAAGAAAGAAGGAGGGTTTAATCAATTATCGCTGATAGTAAACTGAGAGGCTGGAGGATAACATTTATTCCTCTCATTTCAGTTATCTGTGGTCATTGTGGACGCTGAATACATCACAAAATGGCTGTTGAAATGAGGGATTAGAGTGATAAAGAGCAGTGAATGCAGCCGAGCCGTGCGGGTCACAAAAACAGCCGCGGAGTCAGACACGTGAGACGCAGCTGCCGCCAACAGACATTTATATAGGTCATCGGAAAAGCAAATCAATACGGCAAAAATTGAAAGATTAATTCTGGCAGTCATCAAATGAGCTCTGGCAGTGCCTGGTATTTTATTCATTTTCCTGGAGATTGGACACCCATGAGGCCATGACATTTGGAAAACTTTCATAGATATGAGCCAATATTAAAGAATAAAGCAGACTTAACTGATCGTAGTCAGATAAATCATGCAGGAAATCGTATGAAATAAAGATTTGTTTATAACCAAAAATACAAATATGTGTCAGTACACAGCCATTCATTAGGAGATGATAGGTTGTAGAACATAAAAATAAAGTTGTTTAGTTATATTGATATTATACGTACTAAAAGGAGGTTTAAACTGGTTATGAAACAGTCCCAGTTTAATACAGATGCCTCTATATGACCTATAAATATAAACATCAGCAAGAAAATGGGCTATTTCTGTATAGTTATTCCTACTGGCTGCCACTGGGTTAGATTTGGTTGAATTCCCCTTGAAATCAATGAAACGAGGTGGTGGAAACACCTCAGCTTTTGTCCACAAGGTCCATGTAGGGGCTTCAAGTATTAACACTTTTCATTTAATCCATTGGGTTTCAAAATTGTTTGCTTAGCTTAAGAACTAAGAAAATATTCAACCCATCAACCCATAAAGGAAAAACGAATCATTCAGTGTTTATGAAGAATTCAAAATCATTGTTTGAATCCAACTTGGACTTGACCTTGGAAACGGCAGCTGAAAAAAAACACATCAGCTCAAGCTCTACTCGTGCTTTCCCCGAGCTTTCAGTGAGTTTGACATGGCCTTCAAATTTTGCAGTTATGATATAATTTTGACAGTGAAACAAACAAACAAACATAAAAAATGTATTTGGGCTTTTCTTTTGTCTTGGTTCCAGAGCTAATGTGAAGAACTGAAGGCTCAAAGAAAGAAATTGAAAGCTACGCACCAATATTTCTGATGCAGTCCTTTATTGCAAGTTCTAAGGATGAACGTTTTCTCCATTTTCATCAGAGTTATAAAGCTTCTGTAAACACCGTAACTGACCGAACAATGAGTAACACGAATGAGGTATTGAAGGCAATAAATACACAACACCTAAAACAATACAATATACATATTTAATAATGTGCGTACAAAGGAAAGCGCACATGCACATTACATTATCAGTTTGTTAAACACATTCTGCACATATGTCAGTATAAAGACAACATTATATACAGATGTTTATTCATTTAAAGCTGGGGCTCCAAACACCTGAGGCTGTGGCTGTTGGTAGGCGGGACTTCAGCAGGAGGCGTATTGACAGCAGCAAGAAGCCCACGCTGACCCCGCCCAGGATGACCACGCCTGAGATTAGAGCACTAGTCACCGGGTTCATTGGCTGGGAGGGGTTGCCAGATGCTGAAAAGGTGAAGAAAACCAGAAACTTGAAACAGACATGTTCTTTGACGTAGGCTTAACGTGATTTGAGCTTGTGTCTTTTTTTCTTTCAGAAAAAGAAGTGGAGCCCTTTTTGTTGGTTCCATAAATCAGTGATTTCCATGGGTATCTTCTGTCTTTGCACCTATCCCAGGACTTAGTCATGGGTGATATTTTGAACCTTTCTATGTTTTGTAACATTGCCTTGGGAGCTTACCAAGTTGAGAGTTGTTGACAGGAGTTTCATCTGAAAAATGAGAGTTAGGAAAGTGTTTATTGAGTCATTTTTGCACATACTTTAATCTTCAGTGGCTCTGTGGATGTATTGATCTAAATTTGTTTGACATTTGAGAAGTGTGCTTTTTCACTTTCTTGTTGAGACTGCTGAGAGAAATATTCCCACTCTCATGTCTGTGTCGAATATGAAGCTGTAGCCAGGAGACAGTTAGCTTAGCCTAACAACTGCAAACAGGGGAAACAGTTTTCGACAGCTCTGTCGAAAAGTAACAAAAACCTGTCTAGCAGCACCTCAGTAATGAATCTGTTATATCAGGTGTTTTTTTTTTTTTTTAAATCTGTACAGAAACCAAAGTGTCAAAATAACAAACTGAGTTTTTACAGACTATGTGCGAGAATCTATGGTTTCCCCCTGTTTTCAATCTTTCTGAGAGTTACATGAAAATATAGATATTACTTGTGACATTTAATATGAAGCAACAGCAAGCAGCCAGTTAGCTTAGCCTTGCATAAAGACTTGAGGTAGGGGGAATGAGCTACCACTAATTAACATGTTATATCTCATCTAATATGCATACAAAAACTGAAGTGTAAATATGACCATTTGTGGTTTTTAGACTATTAGACTATTTCTACTAGCCTACTCCAGGAAGTCACTGTGAAGGACCAAGAGATAGCCCCGAACATAACATAACATGATATTTTTATCTTCATTTTTTGTACAGATTAAACAAACCAAATATAATGTGTTAATTAGTGAGCTTTAGATTTACTAGTTCTTTTTTACCTTTGGCCCCTTGTATCCAATCTTTATGCTAAGCTACGCCAAATAGCTTCATATTTATCGTACAGATGTGTGAGTGGAATTGATTTTCTTTCATTCTCTTTTGAGAGTCGGTTTATTGTTCATACCACTCCTGGTGATGATTGGTCCAGCGGTGATGACGGCGTTCCCAGATGCTGCTGGTGGGGAATCAAGGCTCTGCCCTTCATCCCGCCTGCGCCGTCGCCCACAAATCTGCCAATCACATCATGAGATTTCAGTCCTCATTGAGGCCACACAGTAAGGCACAAACTGAGAATCATGATTTTTTACACTTACTGGTATGAGCATGATGCAGTCGTCTGCCCGGCACAGCTTGGTGACGCAGTGCAAAAACACAGTTGACATCTTCTGATGTCTGTGTTTAACAAAACGGAAAACCTCAAAGGAAAAACGTCCCATCTGACTCTTCCCATTCTCCAAGACCGTCGTCTGTGGGTCTTTGTAGCAGCTGTGTCAAATAAGTACAACACACTGATGCACACATGTACATGCACACACTGAAAATGACAGATTTGATGCCTAGATATGTGCTTAAGCACTCACTGAAAAGGGGAAAAAGTAGCATTCATTTGGGATAAGCCGTTTGGAGAGCCTGAATAGGTAATGACTCTCTTTTGTGGTTTATCAAGTCATCATCTTGAAGGGGGAAAAAAAGCAAGATTACCCAAAGAAAAGGTCATAGCGGAGTTCATCATTAGGATTCCCTGAGGGGGTTGTGTAACAGTAGTCCATCAAGATGTTCCACCTGCAGAGAGACAAAACTATAAGCTGGGGTGGAGGATAGAGATCTAACTGAACATGGGAAAGCACAGATCATGGCTTTCTCTGCTGTGGACTGGCGCCTTCATTTTGAATAATAACATAATGGCATAATGAATGTAGGCAAACCATAGGGAAAAAAAGGACTGAAAAAAATTGGGGTGGGAAAATGTTGCAATTGTTCAAAATATCATCTTCGCTTCAGTGAAGTTGTTATGGTAAAATCTCAATCTAGTTAAGCAATATTTCTGCAAAGATTTGTCACATCTGAAAACCAATGTTCAGTATAGTGAATAATTGGCTGTCATCTTGTACCGTTTGTCTAAGTTTGTGGCTTTCACAGCAGCAAATACTCTGG